AAACCACATCTGTTAGATGAATACCTGCACAACTTTCTTGATCCCTCGCCAGATCTGCAGTTCTGCAGCTAACTGAAAATTGTTTCATTAAGAGTAACTCCCTTGTACGCAGAAAAGGGTAGCTCTGCCAAATAAAGGGGAATTTTTCTGGAATCCATGAATCAGAAAGTTAAAATAAATGAAATTTTAAATTATGTATTCTGTACCATATTCATATGAGAAAAAGTAAAGAGATATTAAATGAAATAATACTGAATATTTTTTCAAAATAACAATTTCTAGGCTATGATGGGGTTAATACAGATTTAGGACAAACTTCTACATATTTACATCCAAAATTCTCTACGATGATAACCCATGTGCATAATAATGACATCAGCGCAAGGTAAAATTAAGTGCCTTATGTATCATCAAAGATATAATGCAAAGAGGACCACTTGCAACATAGGCAAAGTAAGTATTCACTACATTGAAAAGTTTTGGAGTGCTAGAAAGGTCTCGTCTTGCCTAAACATCTTCCCACTCAGAGAGCTAATGCCTAAAAATTTACTATTAATATTCATGCCTTTCATTTAAGTCTAAACCAGTGGTTCTCAACCATGGGCCATTCTGCCTGCTAAGGGCCATTTGGCAATGTCGGCAGACATTTTTGGTTGTCACAACTAGGAAGGATGGGTTGCTACTAAGCATCCAGAGGACACAAGCCAGGATAATACTAAACGTCACACAACACCCAAGATAGACTCTCACAACAAAGGATCATCTGGCTCAAAATGTCAATAGTGCAAAGGCTGAGAAACTCTGGTCTATATTCTGCCAAAATGCAAAAACATACTGTTTTTAACTTAACCTGCACCTCAGCAAGCCCTCCACTTCAATCCAATCCAATCAAGCCTTTTTTCCCTCTACTCCTCCTCCACGCTGCCAAATCCAGTGCTTACTTATCCTCATATACAACTCCTCAGCAGCATTTATTTGACTCAGCTACGCCCTGCTTCTTGAAACGCTCTTTCTCTTGACTTCCTTGATATCCCAGTTTCCTGATTTTCTTTCTGCTTTACTAGGCACACCTTCCCAGTCTATTTCGTTAACTCTTCAATGCTGTTCATTATCTAACGCTGCATTAACCCTTTTATCCCTTTGTTATCTTCATTTTTTCCCTAGATGCTCTCAGCCAGAACCATGGCTTTAACTACATCTACATCCTGATAATGCCAAAATTTGTAACACCAGCCCTGACCTCCCCCTTGAACTTCAGACTTATTTAACCAACTTTTAGTTCCACTTGAATGTCTAATTGATATCCAAAACTTAACATGTCCAAAACAGAAACCCTTGATTCAGAAATTATTGTTATTATAATCAAAATACCTGTCTAGTAAAATGCTAACAATTGGGGAATTTGGGTTTGATTCTCGCAACTTTTATGTAAGTTTGAAATTCTTTCAAAATAAAAAGTAAAACAAACAAAAACATATGGCTCCCAGGGCTGGCCAGGTGGCATAGTGGTTAAGTTCACACGCTCTGCTTCCGTGGCCCAGGGTTCGCGGGTTCGGATCCCAGGCACAGACCTACACCTCACTCATCAAGCCACGCTGTGGCAGCACCCCACATGAAAAATAGAGGAAGGCTGCCACAGACGTTAGCTCAGCGACAATCTCCCTCAAGCAAAAAGAGGAAGACTGGCAACAGATGTTAGCTCAGGGTCAATCTTCCTCACCAAAAAAAAAAAAAAAGGGGGGGTCCTATCAGTCCACATTTTGTTCTTCCCCTTCAGCAAATTGCACATCAATTCCTCATAAATATCTAGGCATCATCATTAGTTCATCTCTGTAAGAACATGCCACATTTAATCCACAGCAAGTTCAAGATGTTCTACCTGAAATATAGTCCAAATCAAGCCACTTCCCTCCATCTCCACTGCTACCAGCTTCCTATCTGGTCTCCCTGTTGCCACATTTGCCCCCTGTATTAGTTTCCTGGGGCTGCCGTAACAAACTACCACAAACTGGGCAGCTTAAAACAACAGAAATGTATTGTTTCACAGTTCTGGGGGTTAAAAGTCTGAAATCAAGCTGTCAGCAGGACCACACTTTCTCTGATATCTCTAGGGAAGGATTCTTCCTTACCTCTTCCTAACTTCTGGAGGTGGCTGGCAATCTTCAGTTCTTGGCTTGTAGACGCATCACCCCACTCTCTGCCTCCATCTTCACACAGCAGTCTCTCCGTATGTCTGCTTTGTGTCCAAACTTCCCTCTTCCTATGGAGACACTAGTCATGGGGTTAGGGCCCACCCTAACTCAGTATGACCTCATCTTAACTTGATTACATCTGCAAAGACCCTATTTCCAAGTAAGTTCACACTCACAGGTTCCAGGCACTAGGACTTTGGTATATCCTTTGGAGGAATGTGATTCAGCCCATAAGATCCCCTATACATAATCAGTTTTCCACACAGCAGCCATAGCAATCTTCACGAATGTACAGCAGGCCACGTCACTCTCCTGCCTACAGGTCTATGTCCAGCTGGCCTCCTACTGCCTCTCAAACTTCATCTCCTACCACTTTCCCCTTATGCTCCCCAGTGGCCTTCTTTCTGTCCCTCTAACGCACCAGGCTTATCCTTGCCTCAGGAAATTCGTGTGTGGCTTCCTCACCATTTCAAGTCACAGCTCAAGTGTCACTTCCTCACAGACATCTATTCTGACCATCTACCTAAGCAGCACATCCCACAGGTATTTTCTTTCACATAACCCTAGTTTTAAGCACTATGAACCATTACCAGAAATTATCTTCTTTGTCATTTATTTGTTAAGCAGCCCCCTTACTTGAATATAAGCTCTACTGAGGCAGATTCCATCGCTACCGCCCCAGAGACAAAACCAGGGTTGTACAAATATTTTTCATGTTTATTTGGTCAAATACATCTTTTTTCCTTCATGATTTCAGGATTTCCTATCTAACTTACCAAGATTATTTAACTATTCCCCTAATTTTTCTTCTATTGTTTTCTTTCTTTGCTATTGCTCATTTAAATATTTAATCCATTTGGAATTCATCTTTGTATAGTACTTGAGAAACAGGGGTCACCTCTGATGATTCCAACACAAAAAGTCTACAACTTCAAGAAATTCTGACCTATTCGATAAGGCTCAAACACTTCTGCAGGGCGTATGCAAGCTTCCCTGAACTGACCGCCTCTATTCCTCTATGGCACCAATCTCTGGCTGATGATTCCATCCCACCTGCCCTCTGACTATGTCAAAAAGTTAAAATGACCATCCAAAAGGATTATGCTTGAAATACACTTCCCCACCTGCCTTATTAACTCCTATAAATCCTTAAAACCCCAGTTCTAATGTCACCTCTCCTGGAAGCCTTTCCTATCCTTGTTTATATCTTCACTCTAATATCCCCCTACTGTATAATCTGTAGTACCTGCCTCATAATGTGTACATTTAAGTACTTAGCCGAGTGCCTGGCACAGAGTAAATGCTAAATAAACGTTAACTATTATTATTATTGCCGTGATAGGTCACAATTATTTGTTTGTGTAATCTCCCTTGCTAGACCACGAGAGAGAGGACAGAGACCCATTTATTTGCCATTTTACCCATCCCAGTGATCTGGCACATATTGAAGCATTAATAATAAGTGATAAATAAATTAACGAACAACACCTCAATTCTAGAACAAGGTAAATTTCTTTGATACTGTGGATTCCTTATGTTCAAAAAGAGAGGAATCTTTAAGATGAAAAATAGACTGCTCTGGGCCAGCCCCAGTGGCCCAGCAGTTCAGTTCAGCGCACTGGCTTTGTGGCCAGGTTCAGTTCCCAGCTGGGACCTACAATACTCTGTTAGTGGCCATGCTGTGCTGGCAGCCCACATACTAAAAAACAGAGGAAGACTCGCATGGATGTTAGCTCTCAGTGAATCTTCTTCAGTAAAAACTAAATAAAATAGACTGCTCTGCCTGCTTTTGGATTTGGTTCAAATTCGAGGGGTGGGAGAGAGGCAGATCTAGCAAGAAAGTCTAGCTTTTCCCACCTCCTGAAAGACAATAATAGGTGCTCTATGGCTAACATCGTATAACTCATTATACTGGACATTAAAACAATGGCATTTTTCAAAAGAAGAGTAAGAGAACCCAAAACTTTTTGTCTTATTTTGAAAGCAGTCAGACGTGTCTTATCCTCGTGTGAGTTCATAACCTCACATTCACCTGGCCCTGAACCTCACATAAGGAAACTTACGAGCTTCCTTGATAAAATAACCCAACACTTCAACTCTGAGTTGAAGGAGGAGCCTCACGTCAGGTAAACACGTAGGAGCTGTGAAGTCTCCCTGCCCTCCCACGAGGAGAGTCTCCGTCCACGCCCACCTCGGAGAACCACAGTGTTCTGAGACTGGGGGACGACAGGCTTCCTCAGCTCCGGCCTCCCCTAAGCCAGGGCTGCAGAAGCGGAGCAAACTGCCCTGCGTTAATCGGCAGCTGCTCAGTACTGAGAGGACCACAACTCACAGAAGAGGCGGAGAGAAGCTTCAGGCGGGAAAGATGAAGTGTACGGATGCCACACGCAGAGAAAGAAGAGCAGCGAGAGGGGCGATCCGTCAGGAACACTGCCTCTTCTCACTTATCACCGGTACCTCGAATGTTTGCATGCCCAGACCAGCACCCGTCCCGCTCACACTTTTCTTCCCGCTCCAGGGCGGGCCAGGCCGCCGCCCACCCGCTGGAGAGCAACGCGGGCGGCTGCAGCGAAAGGCCGCCGCCTCCCGGACTCACCGGCTCTCCGTGCCGCCACTTCGCCACCGAAAAGGCTGCTGCAAGGCCGGGTCTTCAGGCGTCCCCTCCCGGGAGGCAGCCGCGTTCGATCCCCACCGCGAGACTGCGGTTGTGGGAGGCGAGAACAGCCCGGCCGGTGTCCCGGCTTCCGTAGGCGAACGGCTCGGCGGCCCCGGATGTTGATATGCTCTCTGCCCCGGAAACGGTGGCGGGAGGCCCAAGTGGGTGGAGGCGGTGTTGCCGGCCTCTCCGGAAGGAGACGTGGCGGCGGTTGGGCCCGGGCTGCCTGGGCGGTTGGTAGTCCCGCCGCCTCCTTCTCCTCCTCCCCCTCCTCTCCTCTATGGGCAGAGGAGGCTGTGGCGACGGCTGGAGAAGTCGGCGGCGGAGGATGGAGGAAGGAGGCGGCGGCGCGCGGAGCCTGGTCCCCGGCGGGCCAGTGTTATTGGTCCTCTGCGGCCTCCTAGAGGCGTCCGGCGGCGGCCGAGCGCTCCCCCAGCTCAGCGATGACATCCCTTTCCGTGTCAACTGGCCCGGCACCGAGTTCTCTCTGGTCAGTGCCCTCGCGAAACCCGTAGCCATATCTCTTCCTCCTGTCGCTAAGAGTTCTGCCCCTTCCCCCTATTCGCTACGCTGTTTTCCCCTTGAACCGCCTCTGCAGGCGCAAGCCTCCTTCCCCAATCCAGAGTTTCATTTACCCCACGTTCATTCATTCATACAGCAAGTATTTATCGAACACATCGTGTGGACGTGCCCCCCATGCTAAGCCTTGGGGATCCAGCGGTCACCTGCTCTCCTCTTTTTAAAGGTCTCACTAGACCTTGCTTACCAACACTCTGCCCTGTGGAAGAAGCTTTCCACGTCAGGCGCACACATTTACCTTCTTTGGAGAGTCAGTTGCGCCTCTTCCTTCCCCAGCAGCCTTCTTTCCTTCAGGATTACACATCATCGTACCCACACAGCCAGGAGTACTGCAGATACGAGCTCCCTCTCTCATAGTCGCTCTTTCTTGCATACACACTCACACGTCTACATCTACACACAGCTCTTCCTTTCAAAGTTGTTTCTGAGAGGGTTATTTGTCCTGTGAGATGTTAACGACGCTCTATGCAGAATATCCTTTACAGTTTTGCGGTATTACGACTGTTATTTAAGACCCCAGAACGCAAGGTTTTATGATCCGTTTTCCTACAGTGAAGAACATACTTATGACCTCACAGTAGTGAAAATTTGCAGTCTTTCTGTCTTTGGAGAGGAGACTGATGGAAAGTCTTCCTATCCACGTGTAGCTACTGCAGGCCAATAAATGTTGTGCTCTTATGATACTTACCATGTAGTAATTAATTCATTTATTTCAAATTGAAGTCCTAGAAAATGAAATTTTTTAAAAAAATTATTATTCCAATTACTTAAAGTCATTCCACTTGGGAGATTATTTAAATATGTTGTTCTGTTACTATAAGTGGTACCGTGACATCAAAACAAGATTTACCAGGATAACAGATGTCATCATTACCACAAGAGCTTTCTATTTGCAAATATTAGTTTTTGCTAATATTTCACACCTGGTTTGTTTCTCTTGCCCTCTCTTTTCTGTTCCACTGTTCTGGTAGTTCAGTGGTTCTTGAATTTATCTAAGTAAATATTTCTCTGGGAAGCCAGGTTTATCTTTACATTAATGCCATGAAATACTAATATACTAAAATACATAAAAATTTGTTATAAGTCAGATATAGCTTTAGCAGGCTTAGGGTGAGAATACTTTAGTCCAACCTCTGTTATTGTTTCCAAAGACACATTTGGAATGAACATGACAAAATTTAAAGAATGTGGTCATTAAAATTTTTTACTCTTTCACCTTTTTCTTTTTAGGCTGCCCTGAAAACTTACTGACCTATAAGTGGATGACTAAAACTAGCCTTTTTAGAGGTTACTACCAAATTGTCATTCAGTCTTCTTGCTGGCACGGATGTTTCTTGGCTAAAAAGAGGTTATGGAGAAAGATCTCAGTCTTAGTGTATGTTATACCAACCTTTCACATATCTATCAATTTTATTTTGAAATTTGGTTTTTAATTACTTTTCTTTGGCAATGCAACATAATCTAAGATGGGCACATTTGACAATTTGGGGAGAAAAATTTTTTTCTTTTTTTTTTAGTTTGAGTTATTTTGAGAAAATTCTAGAGACATTTTTCTGAGTTGGCAAAAGGTCTGTGACCTTCAGGCAAAAATAAGTCCTAAGAGTTATTATTATTAGTCTTTTGATTTTTTTTCATACTTTTCTAATCTTAAGGCTTCCCTTACCTACTTTATGTAGTTGCAACTACAGCCCTCCTCACCTGGCCCTGTCATTTTTTTTTTATGGGCCAGTTGGTTGGACATTTGTGTATAACTCAGCAGCTGTATGAACTAGGATAAGGGCCTTTATCTCTCTAACATCTGAAATTGGAAGAAACTATATTAGAAGATTTTAATGTTTTTTTAGCTTTAGAGTTCTTCCGTGCTTTAAATCATCTTCCTATTCAGATATATCAAAACAATACATAATCTTTACAATCTTGCTGTCAACTTTTCTTAGAAGAAGTATTAAGCACCAAAAATGTGTACGTTTTTTAATGTTTACATTAATTAATGATTATTATATTCTTTGTTTACTGGTTTTTAGCATTCAGTTTTGGTTTTGTGTATATATTTTCCTTCAAAAATACTCAGGTCATTAAAGTGTTCAGTTATTCCTTACTTCACAGATTTATGGATTTCACAAAAGAAAACCAGAAAATAAGCCTAATTTTCTCTCTACTTCTGTTGTTAATATAGAAATGTATTCCTACTCAAAAACTTTCCCCAAATCACTACACTTGGGAAGAAGGGTGACCACCTGTCTGTTTCCAAACATATACATTGGCAAGTTATGCCCCTGAGTTTATTTTAGAGCTTCTCCTAACATAGTTTTCTCTGTCATCCTCTGAATATCTTAATTCCTCCAGACTCATGTCAAGCATTAGGAATTTCTTCCTTGTCAAGATGTTATTAAAGTCCCTAAACCTTAAAGTACCATATTCCCTTTGATTAGTTTCATTATATTGAAATCTGATTTTTATCAAATCACTAATATTACCTCTTACACTGAAAATACTTTCAGGTGTTAAGTTTTATAAAACAAGTTTTTACACTATCTGTAATTCTGTACGTTCAGAATTTATTATATTTCATTTTCTTAAAAAAGAACCTGTTTCACAAAATCAGAAGGAAGCATTTTAGTAGTAGATCAAAAAAAATTTTAACTTAGAAAATCACAAAAGGTTAACTTTTTCCCAGTAATTTTTCTTATGAAAAAGTAAGGTAAAGTTGGTTTAAAATTTTTACTTTGTGATCCAATAAGTGGCTCACTATTTCAACAAAGAGTTTTCAGATGGAGAATTGCTGCTTGGTCTACTTTATTAAGAGGAAAGCAACTCTTCCTAAAGTAATGAATGACAAATCTTTGCATCTTCAAACAAGAATACTGATGGCTTCTGTTTCTTGTTACCCCTGACCTAGACCTTAGAAACAATAAGCAGAAGAATGGATTTATTTTACTTTTAGACATAAAACCCAAGAGTAGCTTTTATTACGAAGAAAGAATTGTCTTCCTTTCTTTGCTGTGGTTCCAAACAAGCAGTTCCTTTTTCCATTGTTAGCATTGTGGTGAACATTTTAGTAAATGAGTCCATATTACTGTAGAATTCAACTCTGAACGTTATAGTTACAGATACTTCACAAATAGAGGTGAATACATTCACATGATGTGCTACTGTCTGCTTTCACAACAGTATAGGAATGATTTGATGAGACTTCAGGCCATCCATTGCTAAGTGAATGTGAGTCATGCTTTGCACAACTCCCTATCGTATTCTGAACATATCTGAAAAACATTGAAAGGTGTTATAAATGTTATGTCATAGCAATTTGTTAGCACAACTGAATAAATGCTTCTAAGGATGCTTTTATCATAAATTTGGCTTTGCAACTCTCACTTCCAAATCTCTTTCCTTTCCCTCTTCACTTATAATGGTCTTTTAAACAAGGATCCTTGGCTATAATCCAGGAGTCTATCTAGTAATCTAAAAACATTTTGAAAGTTCATTCAAATAGAGTCATGAGTCACTTAACCACAGGGATAGGTTCTGAGAAATACATCATTAGGCAATTTCATGTTGTGTAAACACCTTAGAGTGTACTTAAACAAACCTAGATGGTATAACCTACTACACATCTAGGCTATATGGTACTAATCTTATGGGACTTGCATCGTGTATGTTATCCACTGTTGACCGTCGTTATGCAGGACGACTGTTAAAACATTCAGGAGCACACAGAATATGGAACCAGTCTGCTTGGGGTCAACTCTGGGCTGTGCTACTTTCTAGGTGTGTTACCTTAGACAAATTATGTAAGCTCTGGGCTCCAGTTTCCTTTTCTGCAAGATGGGAAGAATGCTTATTTTAAGGATCAATGAGTTAAATGTAAAGGACTTAAAATGGTACTGTCAGAGCTAATACAGCTAGTATTTGCTACTGTTTTTTGTTTGGTTTTATTGTCTTGGAAAAACATTGCCCTAATTTGCATTTGTGTTTAAGATGACTGGTGTCAAGTAGTACTGGTTTTATTATGGTTAAGAGTTGTTAGTGTTAAATTGCGAAAAGAGCAGAGTACTTAATAAGAGGGGTTCTTTTCCTTGCCAGGGATAACCAATTAGTATAGTGATTTCAGTCACGTAGGAAGAAAAAAGTTGAGAGAACTGAATTATCACAGAACCCATATCATAAACTGTGAAAACCTCTGCCTTTGTAGTTAGTGACATATTAGCTATCACAAAGCAGAGATTTCTTTTTAGTTAGGTAATATCAGTTATATTATTTGGAATGTTCATTTGAATTACATTGGTTCATATTTGATTTATGAATTGTTTGGTTCTATAATGTAGAAAGCTTTTAAGAATAGTTTTGTTGATATATACCAGAGTGTGGGCAAGCTGCACCTTTGGGCTAGCCCACCAGCTGTTTTTGTAAATAAAGTTTTTTCAGAACATGGCATGCCTGTTCATTTTCAGTATTCCCTTTGCACTTTCTTAGTACAGTGGCAGAGTTGGGTAGTTGCAACAGAAACCCTATGGCCCACAAAGCCTAAAATACTATCTGGCCCTTTACAGAAAAAGTTTGCTGACTCATGGTATATACTTAAAAAAAAAAGTTGTCAGCACAGAGGATCCATAGTAATTTTTGTTTTAAAAGTAATTTATCCATTCATTATCCAAATATGAAAAATACTGCACTATATGTTCGAGTGTCCCATCCAGCAGAATTGAGAGTACATTTGTAAAATGCTGTAGATTCTCATATCTAGGTGGTAATTGTTAGTAGGAGTAATTAGTATTCATTGATGGTGTATCCATGAACATTCGTTGCCTCTCAATGCTTTTTAATCCATATTTTGACTTCAGTCTCTTGCATTACTACTTTTTCTTTATACTCCAAATTTATTTTTGTTCGTTTTTTTCTGTTATATTTTAACAGCAGGATAAAGTTTGTCATCTTCATTTTGTCATTAAAATACATGTAGAATTTTTTCCCTGTTTTTCAAATTTGTTTTAAAAATCCTCTGTTGATGAATTAGTTTGACCTAGGACTGTAAGTTATTCAAGCTAATACAGTTTAGCCAGAGAAGGGTTAAATGTTGTTTGTTCTATTCCTAGCCTACAACTGGAGTTTTGTATAAAGAAGATAATTATGTCATCATGACAACTACACATAAAGAAAAATATAAATGCATTCTTCCCCTTGTGACAAGTGGGGATGAGGTAAGTTTTTATAAATATATTGATAATCCCTATTACCAAAGATATTTATTTAAAACATTGCAACCACATACTTTAAAATAAAATTGAATGACAGGTTTCTCAATAACCCCATTTTACCATAAAAATAGTAATCACTTTTATTATTCCTGAAGTCTGTGATTTTACAGTTCAGCTTAGAAAACTTAGCAACCAATTACTAATGTTTTGAATGAAAATCTAACTCCATGCTTTTCTTTTATAGAAATGAGAGTTTTGCACAAGATATAATTTTTTTAAATGTGTATGTGACATTTTTTATACAGAATTGCTAATAAATAAACTTATAGGTACCTTATGTTTTCTCACTACCTTAACTCATGCCCGTTTCTTCCTCCTAAAATGCCCTAACTGCCTCTTATCCATCCTTCAAGGCAATGACTTCTTTCAAGATGAAACAGGAGAGGCAGCATGGTAAAATGGAAAGGACACCAGCCTAGGAGCCAGGAGGCTGAGGTATAGGCTACAGTTAGCTGTGGAACCTTGAACAAATTTGAAACTCAATCCCTCCACTCAATAAATTTATTGAACCAGTTATATAATATTTTCATGATCTGTAAAATGGAAATATTAAACTCATTGAGTGCATTTTTAGGTTTTGTTCATATTTGAAATCTGTGCAGGGCAGCTATCTGTTTCATTTTGTTTTCAACCTCCTTAAGACACAAATACACACACGCGCAATCACACACATATATATGGCATTCAAGTCTGAAATGTAAAAATATATAGAAAACTGAGAAGTACCTTAAAACTTTCCAATATATTCTACAAGATTCAACTACTCTGAGGCTTTCATAGCTAGAATTTGTGTTAGATGCAAGCATTTCAAAATTCTGAAATAGGTTTATAAGAATTGTTCAGGAAACTGAAACTCAAAAACCTTTGTTGAAGAGAAGAAAGAATGGAAGATTATTCTATGGCTCCATATATTATACTTCAATTCTTTTGAAAGAAGTGGCTACCATAGGATCTTATTAAAGTTTTTGACTTTTTTCCCTTTTATTTCCAAGCATTTGTGATTTGACCAATGAGTTAATGCCCAAACAGCAGAGTTGGATGACGTTCTAGAATAACTGTCATTATTAAACTCTAGTTCTTTCTTAGGAAGAAGAAAAGGATTATAAAGGCCCTAATCCAAGAGAGCTACTGGAGCCACTATTCAAACAAAGCAGTTGTTCCTACAGAGTATGTATTTTATGTTCACTTGATAACTAGAAAATAAATTTCCAGCAGCCTTCCAATAGACCCTTGAAATAATTCTGCACTTCTTTTTACTTTATAATGTTGTATCAAATTTTTAGTTAGTTGTAAATCTAAGTTAATGCTTAATAATATTTTGTTCATTTAAATTCCTATTTAGTAAATGCAGCAGATACCCAGTAATACCAATATTAATTAATACCACTTGCCAAACTGCTTTGAATGTTTTTCAGATCAAGAGAAGATTTCCTTATGTATAATTTTAATTAAAAAATACTAATTGTTATTTTTTAAGCTGTGTAGGAATTGATCCTTAAGCCAGGTCGTAGTTAGACCCCAAAGATATTCTAAACCTATTTCCTTCATAGAATTTTCACATAGAGCTAATTAGTAAAAACAATGAATAGGCTTCAGAAATTTCACATTTTTGTGAGGCATAATAATGAATATAATTTCGTGAAAGCTTACTCTAAATCTTGAGGGACATCTACTCACCTACTTAAAATATCAAAAAGTAATTCAATTGAGTTATATGGCTTTTATGTATTTAAATACATCCATCTTTCTTAGATTGAGTCTTATTGGACTTATGAAGTATGTCATGGAAAACACATTCGGCAGTACCATGAAGAGAAAGAAAGTGGTCAGGTATGTTTTTCTTCAAAATTTGAAGTATGGAACATTATCAAATGAGAACTTTAGTAATGAGATTGATGGTTTTAAAGTTGTATTCTTGAAATATGTATTTGCAAAATACTTACTATATTTTTATTTTATTTTTAAATATAGAAAGTAAATATTCATGAATACTACCTTGGGAATATGTTGGCTAAGAACCTTCTATCTGAAAAAGGTTTGTTTCTACCAAGTGGTTTGATAGTAATGCTGGAATTTGGTTTAAAATATATGTGCAAATTGGAATTTAAAAGATTTTGCTGGAGACTGTATGCATTTTAAAACGCTAAAATAAATTTCTGAACAGTCCCTTAGGGAACTTTTTCAAAGAGATCTTTGTATTATTTTTGCCTTAACAAACATGGCTTTTTCCTAACTATTAATAAATTTTTTTAAATATGGCAGGATATACATGTTAGTGCCATATTTATATAGTATTATTCTTTTGCTTGGTTTAAGCAAAGTTTTTATATATGAAAATAGACATGTAGATGTAGCCCTCAAATTATGAAATATTTTTATTAATCTAATAGCAAATTGGTCAACTAATTTAAGATTCAGCATTTTACTAAGATAAAAAATACTTCAAAAGAAACTCTTGCAGCCTGTTCTTATGCCTCAAATAGAGTATTTCCTAGGTAAAGATGTAAAGATTAAATATGACTGTTTTTTCAAACAAAACCATTTCAAGGAAACTAGCTAAAAGTAGTACGATAAAAATTACATGTATGTTTTGAGTCTTTAGAAAGAAGTGTAAAGTTACAAAGTTGATTGAAGACTTAGTCATTTATATCTTACATATAAGTCCCTGGTCATTCTTTACACTTACCTTGCTCTTATATTATTCCACAGAACAAGAAGCAGAAGAAAAAGAAAAATCTAAAGAGGCAAGTGACAACTGTTGATTTTTCACTCCTAACATGTATTGTTAGTGAGGCATGTATTTATATAACTTAATTGATAGAATATAGCCAAGTGTTACTTTAACTGTCTATCAGGTACCTCAAAGGATTGAGTCAAAGAATATTTACAATGTTAGGTTTTTCTGAGAAAAGTTATGCTATGATCCTTTTACTTACTTTTAAGATCATACAAAAATAAATGAGTCTACCAAAGATGTCTGGGAAAGTTTCTATGATAGCATTATGTCACTTGCATGCTTAGCAGTCATTCCCTCTATTTAACTTTAGAAACAATTATAAGAAGAGTTTTGCATTTTTTCTGTTGTTTGGTTCCTATCTCCTGTGGGTACAACAGATAAACTATACATGCAAATAATAAGCTACCAGACTGCAAGCATCTTAAAAGCAGGGACTGTCTTTTTATCTCTTTACTCAGCAGTGCAAAGCAGAGTGCCAGACATAATGTAGCACTTCATAAATGTTTATTGACTGTGAATGCATAATTGATGACTGAAAACTAGGATTGTTTAAAAAGAATGATTCCTTATGATGCCAAATCCTAATTTTTAAGTGCCCAGGTAGTTCAGGGAATGCTTTCTGAATGCTAAGAATTTCCATAGAGTTTAAGCAACTTATTGATAGAGGATAGTTTATAACTGGTTTCATATCAAAGTGATACTTTTATTGGAAGTAAAATGAAATGGCAAAAGGCCTTAAAAATTACTTAAAGGTATTCCTTTTTTTTTTTTTTTTTTTTTTTGCTGAGGAAGATTCACCATGAGCTAACATCTGCTGCCAATCTTCCTCTTTTTTGTATGTGAGCAGTCACCACAGCATGGCCACTGACAGACGAGTGGTGTAGGTCCCTAGCTGGGAACCAAATCCAGGCTGCTGAAGTGGAACGCACCAAACTTAACCAGTAGGCCACCAGAGCTGGCCCTGGATTCCTGGAATTTACAAGGGTGACTTTGGGGGGAATTGATAAGCTGAGCATAGACACACATAGCATTGCTATTTTAAAAGATTTCAATTTTACACACTACTTTTGAAATAAAATATTTAGCAAGATGGAATTCAAAGTGTGAAATGATCTAGGAAGAGGAAGAAAAGTATAAGGGAAGAAAACTAATATTTATTGAGCCCCAATTTATAAGCCAAATACTGTGAACCAGGATTTTTCTAATTCCAGAAACTAGCATGAAAATAGCAGAGGAAAAATCGTAAAATACTTTTCCTGGAAACGTTTATTTATTGCCCATTTTCGACATGGCACTGACAGGGTACCAAAGGGATACAAGATGAGCTCCCTGCCTCCAAAGAGCTTGCTTAAAGATGTTATTAAGAGGACCTTTTTGAATCCTTTACAGTAGATTTTTCTTGTGTTTATGTAGATAAAACTATGGGAGCTAGCTCCTTAATAATCCTTGTCTTCTGAAGTGATCTCCTTTGTTCCGTGAAAATTTCATTTGTCTTTTGCTGGCCTTGAATAGATTTATACAGTTTACATTCTGAAAAATATGTTTGTTAATATTAATAACAGGGAAGAAGAGTAAGCAGATTGATGAACCAGTACAGTATTTAGATTCCTGTCTTGGAAGATAGTGTTTTCCCATGTAGTCCCACTTTTTGATAAATCAAACTTCAGACCTCTAGAACCTAAACTATAGCACAGCCATTCACTGTGAGTTCAGTGAAGAAAGCTCTGACCAGCCCAGTATAGTAAGTTCCCGTGTTCTATCGTAGTCACTTTCTTTAGAACTGATGAAAATAAATCATATAATTGTGATACTATAACCTTTTTTATAAAGGTACATTTACTTAACATCTTAATTTTAGCGCCAAATAAAAATTTTCTTTTTTGCTGCGTTAAACTAGCTCTGAAAATATGTCTTTGCTCAAATAAGAATTTATGAATCAAAAGACTATTAGAGGGAGAACTTACAGAAAATATGGAAATGTTACCTTTCAGTTTGTAAATAAAATGTAGTTTTCTTCCTTTCAGAATAAGTGCTTCTCCCATCCTCACGCCCGCCTCCATTTCTAATGAAAAGTCTGTCTTATACTCTTTTTTTAAGATTCCCACTAAAAATATCGAAGGTCAGATGACACCCTACTATCCTGTGGGAATGGGAAATGGTACACCTTGTAGTTTGAAACAGAACCGGCCCAGATCAAGTACTGTGATGTACATTTGTCATCCTGAATCTAAGCATGAAATTCTTTCAGTAGCTGAAGTTACAACTTGTGAATATGAAGTTGTCATTTTGACACCACTCTTGTGCAATCATCCTAAATATAGGTAGGATGTGGATTTATTATTTTAAACATGAAATGCATACATGCTTTAAAGTGTCATATGCTTAGTTTTAATGCTTTGTTCTTACTGAATAGATTCAGAGCATCTCCTGTGAATGACATATTTTGCCAGTCACTGCCAGGATCACCATTTAAACCCCTCACCCTGAGACAGCTGGAACAGCAGGAAGAAATACTAAGGGTGCCTTTTAGGAGAAATAAAGAGGTATGAGAATTATCTAATGGTATTTTCTCAGTGCTTCCTTTTCCAAATTTCAAAGCAAATACCAATATTTTAATGATTTCTGTAGTATAGTAATAGTAATTTATTTTCCTGACTCAAAATTTTAAATTCCAATGCTTTTCAGTAATTTTAATTATTTTCCTTACTCTAGCTCTTCTCAGAAACTGTTTTAGCATTCTCTTACACTCATAATTTCATAATATTTTAAAGTTTGACATCCTCTTTATTGTAGTTTAATTTTCAGCTAGTTGACTGGACTTCCCAGCTAGGCCTCTTGAAAAATTAGACTACACCCCATCTCCTAATGCTTTATTTATTCTTCAACTCATTGCTATTTGTCACCAAACCATCATTCTTCTAAAACTGTTCTTACTAAGGGCAGCAGCAGTCTTGGTTCTAAATTTGCAGGACATTTGCATAACTTGATCTTAGGAGCATGAACCCTGAACATTTGGAGCTTGACCTTTTTTGCCACCTTTTACTTCAGGATATTCTCTCTGGTTCTCTCTGGTTTTTTTCTCTTATGTACTAGTTCTTCCTCTGCTTCTTGCCCCTTAAAATGTTGAAGTTCCCCTATCCATAGCTGCCTTCTGTTCTTATTGTGCATAGTCTCCTTAAGTGAGCTCATCCATGCCCATTCTATCAACTGCCATTTAAATGCCCATGAGTTCGAAATATACATCTTCAGCACTGATCTATCTCCTGAAGTCAAACCTCAGTCACAATAATTAACATATATTGAGTCTTAACAGCTATTATCTAATCCTCACAACAACCTACAAGATGTACTATTATTATATTCCCTTTTTTTTTTTGGTGAGGAAGATTGGCCCTGAGCTAACATCTGTTGTCAGTCTTCCTCTTTTTTGCTTGAGGAAGATTGTCGCTGAGCTAATAACATCCATACCAATCTTCCTCTATTTTGTATGTAGGATGCCACCACAGAATAGCTTGATGATGTGTGTGTAGGTCCACACCCAGGATCCAAACCAGTGAACCCCAGGCCACCCAAGCAGAACACGTGAACTTAACCACTATACCTCTGAGCCAGCTTCTGTTATTATCGTCGTTGACAGATTTAGGGAACTGAGGTTCACAGAGGGGAAGCGACAAGTGATCACTTGGAGAATGGAATCGAAATACTCTGATTCTAGAGCCTGTCCTCTTAACTACTTCTCTGTGCTGCTTCTCCCTTTTGATATGCTACTACCTTCCCTCTTCATCTGCCTATTGAACATAACGGTATACATTTTCAATAATCTCAAGCTCATCGTTTGTTTTTTCTTTCACACCGACCCTTTTCTTGTCTTTCTCATTGTGTTTAAAGCACTGCGCTCTACCCAATTGTCCAAGTCAGAAACCTAAGTCAGTTTTCCTACCTCCCTCTTGATTCATCTCTAACTCTAATCGTTCACCAAATGCTATCAGTGTTATCTTCTAATTGCTTTTCAGATCTGTCCTGTCATTAGTTCAAGACTTCATCATTCCTAGGACCGGAAACTAGTCTCCTCACACATCCCCTTTCTAATCCTTCCCATACAACTGATAAAATACTCTTTCTGAAATGAAAAGTTGATTATGTATTTACTCCTTTGGTGGTTAACATAATCTATACTTCAGGATAAAATCCTTGCTCATACAATGACTTTATCAAAGGAGAATACAGGCCCCCTTGTGGTCTGACTTCAGCCTTATCTCGCATAACCATTCCTTTTATCCCAGCTATTTTGAACAACTCAGAGTTTCCTAAAAGTACCACGTTCTTTCCAACCTCCTTGCCTTTGGATATACTGTTTTCCCTCTTCTGTTGCCTTCTCCCCTTCCTCCAGTATACCTGATAAACTTCTACTTAGGCTTGAATATGAGCTTCCATTGTCATTTTCTTTGCAAATGAGCCAGGACTTCTAATGGATTACCCCAAGAAGAGAGGTTAGTGTTTCCTCTTCTGTGATCTTGTATTTTATTCAGTCCTCCATTATAGCACTTGTATGGCTAAAATTGGTTGTTTTTCCTATGGTTCTTACATTAAAATGGAGGGAGAATAAACTATGCTTTCATTACTTTGGGGTTTACAGCTCCTTGCATGTTACCTGCTGTGCTGTATATACTTATCAATGGTTTAAATTAACTAACATGGTTAGTTTGGTTTAATTAACTGCATGGCCTGTTTATCCCCTTCCTCTTGAGTACTTATTGCGAAGGTATTGCTGGGCTCTTTGTGGATGTAGTGAACACCACCATTCTGATAGGAGGGAAAATTTTCTTAACATTCATCTGCATTTGATTTGAAATGCTGTATTAAAAGATTGGAGATGGAGTTCTCTTCTGGTCTTCCCCTTTGATAGTACAGTACTTAAAAGTCAGCTCCATCAAAATGCTTCACAAATCCCAACTTTAATTACTCTTCAAGGAAGAAGTGCCAGTTTACTTTTCTTTAATTAATGTGTTTCATCTGCCAGTTGAGAAAGATTTTCTTTAAAAAGCTACAGATGATAATGCTTTTAAAATACTTAGGATCTTTAGAGTACATGTTGTATATGAAAATCTTAGATAATACTGTAGCATGAGTAGTTACTTAAAACTGATCATCTTTTTTTCAGAGGTTTTTATAAATCTAGTTTATTACACATAACTGTTCTTTTAAAAATTGATAATTAGCATATAGTTTGCCTTTTAAGAGTGGATCAAGCTTTACTATAAAGAATTTTTTTCTCTTTTAAACAAAAATACAAATCTGGCAACCAGAATTTTGGTTTGGTGTTCTGCCCGTGTTATTATATTACATTAATATGGAGATTACTGCACTATTAAGCACTATTAGGAGTCCATTTTATGAATTTCCAAACTCTACTACAAAAACTACTATCATCTTGCTTTTATTGAAACAATTTACCTTAAAAATGAAAGTAAATATTCTGTCCACAAGGATGGTCATACTTCTGTTCTTTTTATGTCTTGTTCTTATCTCAGCTGCAAGTTTCACTGGGCAGTATTATTGTTTTTCTTCACTAACCTCACTATACATCTCATGTATTATAAGTAATTTCTTTAGTCTATTATACCTTAGCTCTGTAGGAGCATTGACTATGTCTGCTTCATTTTTTTTTTTTTTTTTTAAAGATTTTATTATTTCCTTTTTCTCCCCAAAGCCCCCCGGTACATAGTTGTATATTCTTTGTTGTGTGTTCTTCTAGTTGTGGCATGTGGGACGCTGCCTCAGCGTGGTCTGATGAGCAGTGCCATGTCCGCGCCCAGGATTCGAACCAACGAAACACTGGGCTGCCTGCAGCGGAGCGCGCGAACTTAACCACTCGGCCACGGGGCCAGCCCCATGTCTGCTTCATTTTTAATATTCATCACTTAAAATAGTGCCAGGAGCATAGTAGACTCTGAATGTAGAAAGAGTTATACATAAAATTCAAGGTCCTTTCAAAAAATAAGAAGCCATCTTGGCAATCTTTGTTCTTCCTTACTATTGGAGGAGAGAGAGGAAGGTCATTGGTTTCTAGCATAACCATCCAATGACTCTTACTAGCTGAAATAGAAGAAAAGAACCACAATTGGTCAATGGCAGCTACAGTAGATGAAAAAGTAGACACCGTGTCCACTATACATTTACCGGAAACTCGTTTACTATTTAATTTTTTAAATTATTTCATTCAATTATAAGTGGTACACTCGCTTCTTCACTTCTAGTCTATATTCATTTCCTCTCCACTCACTGTCAATACCCAGTTAATTACCAGGTTCTAACTCATTAACCTCTTGCATAACTATCCTCTTCTCTCCACCCTACCTCTGTCACCCCCTTACTTTAGATTCTCTTCATCTGTGGCCTGGGTGACTGCAGCTCCTAACTTGGCTCCCCACCTCCAGATTTGTTCTTACTGTTCCTTCTTCCCTGCCCCTGCTAAAGTAATTACTTAAAAATCTGATCACGCCATATCTTTGCCTAAAGTCTGTAAGATAATGTCCAAACTTTCTTAGTATTATATACTTTTCCACCATATAGTACCTGCTTATCTCTTTAGTTTTAAATATCATACCATACCCCACATCTTTGCTCTTGCTTCTTCCTCAGATTTACACAAATATGCACATACAAAGACATAAAGCACATATACAGAAAGTCACATAAATCACCAGTTATTATTCATGTTTCAAGAATTAATCAAGGGTTTTCTCTTTGTGAAGTCTTCATGTTTCACTTCTTTGTCAAAGTCTGTTTGAATCACCCCTACCTCTGTGCATCTGCTGTTCCCTCCACCATTATTAATTAGCGTCTTCCTTTACTAAATTGCAGCTTCCTCCAGGACAACACCAGGTCCTGCTACATTTGAATTATTATAACTAATATTCATATTCACTCCCACTCAGGTCCTCTTTATTGCGCTTGTTATCCTTCCTTTATGCTTAGTAACCAAATTTTCCAAAACTAACTGTAGAGACTCAAGATCTAACAAGTAGCAAAGTACTTAATAAGAATAGTGAGACAAAGTAATATGAAATGGAAATTATCCCTGTATGTCAAGAATGGCCACCATACCTCTAACTGGTAGATGGAACTCACATTTGTCTAGAGCTTTGTCTATTAAGTGTTGCAAATTCATTTTCTTAAAACACATTAAAAATGAATGGACAGCTTTTATTTTCCAAATTTTTTACTGTTTAAAAATAATAATTTAAGTCATAAATGAAAAAAATTCTGTGGCATAGAGGCTCTTCAACATATGTATGTTTAATTTTAGGAAGATTTGCAGTCAACTAAAGAAGAGAGATTTCCAGCAATCCACAAACCCATTGCTGTTGGTTCTCAGCCGATGCTCACAGTTGGAACGACCCACATATCCAAATTGACAGATGACCAACTCATAAAAGAGTTCCTGAGTGGTTCTTACTGCTTTCACGGGGTGAGAAATGAACCTTCTGTTTAAATATTTATCTTACAGCTTTCACTTGTGTGATATTTAGTCCAGGAGCATTAATTGGCAGCACTGAAAAAGGTTTTTGTCTACAGAGAAATGGCAGGATTCTGGAAGCCTCCCAATGGACATTCTCTCTGTGGTTGTTACTCTAATCCATAGTGATTATGTTCTCTTTACTCACAAACTAAAACTTGACCTTTACTTGACAGAAAATATATATAACTAAGTCATATATGATTCTGGTTGATTGCTGGAATAGGCATCAGTGATTTTATGCCTGCATTTTGGTTAGGCAGCAGTCACATTTAAAACTTGAGTTAACATCTACAAAGGTAAAATTTTGTCTCTGATACCTCCAGTGGGAAATATCCTTAAAAGTGGCATTTTCATTTCATTTCATTTTACCAAGGCAATACAATAGTTATTCTCTGTATTTACTTTTTTATTTCTCAGTAATTTTTTTCCTACTTTATTCTCCCCAAATCCCCCCAGTACATAGTTGTATATTTTAGTTGTGGGTCCTTCTAGTTGCGGCATGTGGGATGCCTCGTCAATGTGGCCTGACAAGGGGTGCCATGTCCGCATCCAGAATCCGAACCAGCGAAACCCTGGGCCACCAAAGCAGAGCACATGAACTTAACCACTCAGCCACAGGGCCGGCCCCATATTTCTCAGTAATTTTTAATTTTAATTTTCAACTATATTATTGCTATTACAGTTTTTTTGGTTTTGGTTTTGGTGAGGAAAATTGTCCCTGAGCTAACATCTGTTGCCAATCTTCCTCTTTTCGCTTGAGAAAGATTGTCACCGAGCTAGCATCTGTGCCAGTCTTCCTTTGTTTTTTGTATGTGGGACACTGCCACAGCACGGCTTGATGAGCAGTGTATAGGTCCGTGCCTGGATCTGAACCCACGAATCCTGGGCCACCAAAGCAGAACATGCAAACTTAACCACTATGCCACTGGGCCAGCCCCTAATTTTTTAATTATGTATATTTCCATCGCTGTCATTTGGCAATACTGAGACAGGCCCCCATCCCCCTTTCTCTGTACATAACTTGATCTGTTTCCTTTCCTGCAGGGTGTTGGTTGGTGGAAATATGAATTCTGCTATGGCAAACACGTACATCAATACCATGAGGTATAGAACAGCATTTATATCATTTCACCACTAGATGGATTAAAGTTTTAAAAATCTTTTGTGGAAAAAAAGAGAGAGTTTGTGTTACTTTTAATTATGAGATAATTTTAATATAGAAATACTCATCAAAGTGTGTCTAAATTTTGGAAAATGGAAAACTTGGTGTTAACTAAGTCAGTCATCTTAAAGTAACATTGTTTATTAACTGCTGACATTCTTGTATTACCATGAGCCTGAAGGAATAATAAGGTATTGTAACTAACTTCTTTAGCTTTGACTGAGAAGTCATTGTTATAATTCGTCTTTAAATTAAGAAAGTGAATGGTAAGATAGTACATTATTACTAGAGTTAGTAAAATAGGGTAAATACAGCAAGTTTTTCAGCTAAAGGAGGTACCATATCATCTAGCTTTAAAATAAGTTTTAAGATTACACACATTGACTTTTTATTCTTCCTTTTATTTATAATTTCATATTATAATATTCATATTCAGATGGCATATTCTCCCACACTTGAACCAAGCTGCTTAAATTCTGAAGTTCAAGCCCCAGTAGTTTTATTTATCGTAGTTAAACTTTGGTAGGGTAAACTAGACATTGAAGACAAACATTAATTAATAAATAGTGACCTGGCTGTTTTAAAACACTCTTTATTCCCCAAAAGAAATAATAACTAGTAATTAGGAAACACTGTATTTGCCCTCTTGAGATGTTTTGAGCCCATGTTACATTCCAGGCTGCATCATACCAGGAAAGATCATCAGCTAACCTTCCACGTGTGAATCATTCCACATTTAGGAGGCGTCAGTAAACTGGGACATTTTTCTTTTCACTTAAACCCAAGAAGTTCTATTTCACTATTGTTTCCATTTATTCTCGCTGCTGTGTAGATGTTTTTATTTTAATAACATGTATTAATACAGAAAAAAGGTAAAGTATCATCTAACTACAGCCCAGATAATACCCAATGGCTTTTTTTTTAATTAAAGGAATGTATACCACAAATTTAAAATGAAAAGTAAAATTCTCTTTCACCATTATCCCCTTTCCCAAACATTACTGCTGTTAACATTTTCTTAGTTAACCCTCCACAAGAAAAAAATATATGTATGTAAATATTGGTATCACCTTTTTATTTATACAGGAGGAATCTACTCAATGCACTGCTCTGCACTGTTCTTTTCACTTAGTATCTTGAAGATCTTTCCATGTCAGCAAAAACTGATCTCATTCTTTTCAGCAGGTACAGAGGATTTTGTCTGTACCCACAATCTATTTAGCCAGACCTCTGCTGATGGACCTTTGTTTCCAGTTTTTGCTGTAATAATATCTTAGTAAGCATTTTTAAATAGTTCTGTTGATGAACTTTTGCATATATTCATAGGGCACATTCCTAGCAATGTACTTGCTAGGTCAAAGTATGTGCATACTGAACAGTTGCCTTCCAAGGGTTGGACCCCTTTACGTTTCCGTTAACAAATGGCTGTTTTCCCATACACTTGCCAACACTATGTTTTATCAAACTTATTTTGGCCAAAGTCATATAATGTAGAACTTTTTGAGGGACTCTGCTAGAAACTGTGGGAAATATAAAAATAATAGTAGCTAACAAATATAGTGCTCAGTGAATACGAGGCACTGTTTTCAGTACTTTACACATATTAACTCATTTAATGTTCATAATAACCCTAAGAGATGAGTATTGGTATTCCAAGATGAAAAAACAGAAGCAAAGATTTAGTAACTTGCCTAAAATCACATAGGTAGTAAATGGTGAAGCTAGAATTCAACCCCAGGCAGTCTTGCTCCATATCCAGCCTCTTAAACACTTCACTCTGCGGCACTAATCCCTGTCTGTGTAGGAACAAACTTACAGTCTAGTTGCGAAAAGCATGTTAATGGCTGTCTCTTCTGCTAGGCAGAAAGCTCCACTGGGGCAGTGGCCATGCCTGACTTGTTTCCACTGTAAGGCTTTTTAGTTCTACTAATCAGATGTATATTAGTGCCCAGTATGGTGCCTGGCATAAAATATAAAGAAGGAATGGAAGACAGAAAGGAAGGGAGGGGAAGGAAAGGAAGAAGGAAGGAAGTCCACATATAAGAGAGTATATAGTTGGTGTTTAAAAAAAATAATAAAATCAGAATGGGAAGGGGGTTTCTGAACAGACAGTCTTGATACAGAAACACACATGGTGTCAAATGAGTATTGTGAAGACTAGTATAACTTGAAGGTTTGCATTTGAAAGAGTAGAAGTAGGATGAAGACGGGCTCAGTGTGTGGCTGCAGTGTAAGAGATAGAGGCCAAAGATTTCATTAAGAATCACAGTAGTATGTGATTGTATTATTTAGGTGTGCGAGATGAAACTCAGTTGGAGGGTGAGATGTTGGCAGTGGAAATGTAGAGGAAGAGTCTGAAGCCGAGAACATCTCCAGGGATATAGGAGATAGATATAGGAGAGGAAGGAAATAGAGGAGTCAGAAATAACTACATCTAGAGCCGGCCTGACTAGAAAGTAGTTTCATTATTCAGGGAAACAAGGAGTAAAGACCATAATGAGCTCAAATTTCTACTCATCGAGTTTGACTAACATGATTACATCTAAACATAGATATCCAGTCTCCAGATGAAGATAAGGACTGTAGCTTAAATATCTACTTGATGATGTCAAGCATGCCTTATCACAAATATTTTTTCATATATTAGGACAAGGATAGTGGGAAAACCTCTGTGGTTGTGGGGACATGGAACCAAGAAGAGCATATTGAATGGGCTAAGAAGAATACTGCCAGAGCTTATCACCTTCAAGACGATGGTACCCAGACAGTCAGGTAAAGATTAACGTTATTCCTCTTTGGATCTGATTAGTAGAATATTTAAAACTCAGAATATTGAAAAAGATAAAATTTAAACACTTAAGTAAACCTCTGGTCAGTTTTTTTCAGGGACATCTTTTAAGTTAGTTTTCTTTTCATGGGGAAACAACATAGTGTAATAGTTAAGAGCATAGTCTGAAGTCACACAGCCTGTATTCAAATGCTAGCTCTTCACTTACTACCTCGGGCATATTACATAATCTTAAGCCTTATTTTTCTTGTCTAGTAGTATTTGCCTTGTAGGATTATTGTGACATTTAAATGAGGTAATTCATGCAAAGCATAGAGCCTGGGAATAGCGTGCCATAAACTTTGGCTGCTGCCTTTAATAGTGGTGGTGGTCTGGTAATGAGAGTGGTGGCGGTGTTAGTAACAATGGCTCACTTCCAGGTATTAGGTCTGAGACTGTTATAAAGCATTGCCTCATTCATGTGTGATCTTTACCTCTTTAAGTTACTTAATTCTATTTAAATATACTCTAGCATTTCCCTTTGTTACTTAACCTTTGTGAGGTAATGGTTGAAAATAGTTAAACATTGGCTTTTTGAAAAACAACCTCACATCTTTTGTGGGCTTTATAGGTGTATCTTGTTATAGCAGAGGTAAATTAATCTCTTGTTTCCCAAAAATAACTAAGCTTTAGCTTTTCTTGTAGTTTTTTAGTGAATTTTAAATGATTCATTATTTTTCCTTCTCAGGTGTTAACTTTGTCCTTCCTAGCACAGATGGTATTGAGAGACTTTGTTTTCAGAATGTGCTGACTTCTTGGGCTGACCAAAATGAAAATTAGCAAAATTAAGAGATGGGCATTTAAGTATTAGCATATACTAAACAGATGGATTTTTCTTACGTTTGTATATGTTTCATGTGAAAATAGTTCATGGTATCATGCGCAAGAAATACTGAAGCACAAGAGCATGAGGCCAGCAAAGCTAGAGCTTTTCTTTGGATCCTCTCATTTGGAATTTACAGCTTAGCCTAGGCTTTACCATTCTACATCTGCATTACAGTATTTTAATGGGTGGAGCTGCATGGGGGATGGGAAGAAGGAAAAACTGTTCCACAAAGTGAACAGTATACAGGCCTGGGGAAATGGTTAACTTTAAAAGAACACCTTTTTTAACAGCAATTTAACCTTAACTATTTGTATACAAATAAATAATATGGAAGTTGAAGATCATTCTTATTTATTAAACCACTACTACGTAACTCAACTTTATGTTCTCTTTATAGAATCTGAAAGACTTTCTCTGTGACATTTCCCTAAAAATAGGTATTTTTAAAGAATATTTTATAGTCAGATTTTTTTTTTTCTTGGTGAGGAAGACTGGGCCTGAGCTAACATCTGTTGCCAGTCTTCCTCTATTTTTGTATGTGGGACACTGCCACAGCATAGTTTGGTGAGTGGTGTGTAGGTCCACACCAAGGATCCAAATCCATGAACCCCGGGCCACCGAAACAGAGTGTGCAAACTTAGGCACTATGCCACCAGGCCAGCCCCCAGATTTTTTTTAACTAATGCAAAACTGATTCCTCAAACTATCTTCTCACCCTATCCATTACACTTACTCTGAATTAGTGAGGTTTTAGTTTAATAAAGCTTGTGTGTTTCTCTGATTCAGGATGGTGTCACATTTTTATGGGAATGGAGATATTTGTGATATAACTGACAAACCAAGACAGGTGACTGTAAAACTAAAGTAAGTTAGACCATTGTGCTTATGCCTTTCTCTTTAATCTGCTTCCTATGAAAAAAGTGTAAGTGAATATAAAATATGAATAATTAAATTTACTTGTAATAATTTATGGGTTGTTATAAAATTATTTTATTCTAAAATATTTAAAATTATTATAATTTTAATATTTATAATGTTATGTATAATAATTATTAAGTTACATTATTTTGATAATTTATTAAATCATATTACATTATACAGGGCCACTTACATGGGATTTTTATGGTTTAAGAGGAAAACAAAAGTGATTTTGTATGGTTTGGACAGTGCCTTAAAGTCTCTCTGTTGTAGGTGTAAAGAATCAGATTCTCCTCATGCTGTTACTGTATATATGCTAGAGCCTCACTCCTGTCAGTATATCCTTGGGGTAAGTAAAAAAATAATACTCAGGAATGCAGTTTGGGGCCATGTTTTCATTTTTAGCATTGTCTAGAAAAGACCTTCAGTAAGTCTCCAGAGTTTTTAACATAGCCCCCTACTACCTCTGTAAAAACTGACATCTTTTCTTATTGAGGTATAATTTATGTAAAATAAATGCAAAGACTTTAAGTGTTGAGTTGGATGAGTTTTGACAATTTTATGTACCCATGTAACTATTACCCAAAACAAGGTATCTATCATGGCAGAAAAATTGTTTATACTCCTTTCCTGCCAATACCCCTCAACCCCTAAAGATACCCCTTTCTGATTTCTGACACCTTAAATCAGTTTTGACCTTTTTTTAATACCATATGAATGGAATCATATAGTATATAATGTTCTATACCTGGCCTCTTTGACTCAGCGTGTTTTTCAGACTTACCCTTATTGTTGCATGTATCAGTACTTCGTTCTTTTTTTCTTACTAAATAGTATTCTTTTGTATAAGTATACCACATTTGCTCATTCATCTGTAGATGGACATTTGGGTAGTTTCTCATTTTTGATTACATGAGCAAGGCTGCTGTGAACGTTTTTTTTTTATGAGTCTTTTTGTGGTCATATTGATTAAGTGCCTAGAGGTGGAATTGCTGAATCATAGATCAACATAGTTATATGTTTAACTTTTACAAAACAAGTAGTTGTACCATTTTACACTCCTCCCAGCGATGTGTGAGAGTCCAGTTGCTCCACATCCTCACTAACATTTCGTATTATCAGTCCTTTTTATTTTACCAGGTTTTTTTTGAGGAAGATTAGCCCTGAACTAACTGCTGCCAATCCTCCTCTTTTCACTGAGGAAGACTGGCCCTGAGCTAACATCCGTGCCCATCTTCCTCCACTTTATATGTAGGATGCCCACCACAGCATGGCTTGCCAAGCGGTGCCATGTTCACACCCGGGATCCGAACTGGCAAATTCCAGGGTGCTGAAGCGAAACGTGTGAACTTAACCGCTGCACCGCTGGGCCAGCCCCTATTTTAGCAGTTTTAATTTGTATTTCCCATATCAAAAAATGGTTTTGAACACCTTTTCATGTAATTATTCATGTATCTTCTTTTGTGAAATGTCTAGCCTGGTGTTTTTTGTTTTTTGGTTTTTGCTGGGAAAGATTCACCCTGAGCTAACATCTGTTGCCAATCTTCCTCTTTTTCCTTTTTTCCTCCCCAAAGCCCCAACTAGTTAGAAGTCCCTCTGGTTCTTCTATGTGAGCTGCTGCCACAGCATGGGTAGTGACTCATCAGTAGTGTGGTTCTGCGCCCAGGAACCAACCCCGGGCCGCCAAAGTGGAGCGTGCCAAACCTTAACCACTAAGCCATCAGGGCTGGTTCTAGCCAAGTCTTTTTGAAGAAAAGATTATTATGACACTTATTAAAACCATAAGGAAGACTTTATTCAGGACTATTGCAATACGTGTCAAGACTATCACAATAGGGGAGAGAGATCTAGCTCAACTCCAAACGCAGCAAAGACAGCTGGGGATGTATAGCCAACAAGTAGAATAGGGGGTGTAAGGGTGGTGAATGAATGGAAAATTACTAAGAGGAGACATGGAGGGTGGGGGATTCTGGCTGAAGGCAGGTCAGGATGATTAGATATCAAAAGAGAGAGATGAGGAATTTGATCAGATATGGAGAGTGATTAGATACTGAGGGTGATTAGATATTGAGAGTGAGGGATTCTCTCTAAACTGACTTGTCAGGATTCTTGCTACACCTGGACTCAGCAGGCCCAAAACAGGGTCCAAGATGAAAACCTAGTCGAAAAGACTGCTCAGGGGAGCCTGACTATGGTTTGGTTGAGGAAAGAGTCTTTGTCAGTCTTTTACCTATTTTTATTGTTGTTATTTTCATCTTATTTATTCTAGGAGTTCAAGTATATTCTGAATATGAGTTCTTTGTATTTATATTACATGTTTTTCCCCTAGTCTGTGACTTGCCTGTTAATTTTCTTAGTGTCTTTTGAGAAGCAAAAGTTTGATGAAATTCATTTTATCAGTTTTTTCCCTTTTATAGCTAAAGCTTTCCTTTGTTCTGTCTGAGAAATTCTCCTGCCCTACAGTCATGAAGATATTATCCTGTATTTCCTTCTAGAAACTTTTTGGTTCTACCTTTGATTATGTAATGCTTAAGGAGGGTTTTTCTTTCTATTTATCCTGGTTGGAGTTCACTGAGCTTCTAGGATTCATGGGTTGATCTAATTCATCAATTTTGAAAAAATTTTGGCCATCGTCTCCTCCAAGATTTCTTCTGCCCCACTCTTTCTCTCTCTAATTCTGGGACTCCAGAATTAGACATATTAGTTTGAAGCTGTCCCCAAATGTTAGATACTCTTTCTTTTATTCTCACATTTTTTTCTTTATTTCAATTTGAGTCATTTCTGTTGAATTGTCTTCAAGTTCATTGATTCTTTCCTCTGCTGTGTTCTGTGCAGCTCATTGAATGAATTTATCTCTGATATATTTTTCATTTCTAACGTTTCCATTTAGTTCCTTTTTTATGGTTTCCTTTTCTCTGCTAAAATTACCCATCTGTTCACACATGTTGTCTACCTTTTCCACTATTTCCTCCATTATATTTATTCTATTTATCTTAACATCTGATAACTTCCACACCTGGCCCATCTTTGGGCTACATATTTCTATGCCTTTTTCTTGAATTCTACAACTGATTATTTTGCCATAATCCTCTAGTTTTTTCGTTGTATAATACCTAGCTATATATTCCTCCATTATACTTGTCCTTTATTCCTTTTTCTCTCATCTTTCTTATTTAGAGATAAAAATATTTTCTCTGCCTATCTGGTATTTTATGTGAATGACTAGAAATTATTTTTTAAAAAGCTCAATTTGTATGATTCTCTCTTTATCTTTTATTATTGACATCTTAATTATAATGTTTCTTGGTATAGGCCTCTTTGGGTTCATGTTTTGTGGAACTCTCTGTGTTTCCTGTACCTGGATATCTGTTTCTTTCCTCAGATTAGGGAAGTTTTCAGCTATTATTTCTTCAAGTAAGTTCTCTGCTCCTTTTTCTCTCTTCTTCTTCTGGGACCTCTATAATGCAAATGTTAGTATGCTTGATGTTGTCTGAAGGATCCCTTAAACTGTCCTCATTATTTTTAGTTCTTTTTTCTTTTTTCTGTTAGGCTTGGATGTTTTCCTCTACTCTGTCATCCAGATCGCTGATCCATTCTTCTATATCATCTACTCTGCTATTGATTCCCTATAGTGAATTTTTCCTTTCAATTATTGTATTTTTCAGCTCTGATTGGTTCTTTTTTGTATTTTCTAATTCTTTGTTAAAGTTCTCACTGTGTTCATCTATTCTCCTGAGTTCAGGGAGGATCTTCATGACCATTAGGTTAGCAGGTAGATTGTTTATCTCTGTTTCGTTTAGTTCTTTTTCTGAGGATTTGTCCTGTTCTTTTATTTGGAACATATTCCTTTGTCTCCTCATTTTACCTCCTTCTCTGTTTATTTCTATGTGTTAGGTAGATCACCTATGTCTCCCAATCTTGGAAATGTGGTCTTATGTAGGAGATGTCTTATGGACCCCAGCAGCATGCTCCCCTCTCATCACCTGTGCCAAATGCTCCAGGGTGTCCCCTGTATGAACTGCATGTGCTCTTCTGTTGTGGTGAGGCCACTGTTGTTGTGGGCACACTGGTAGGCTGGGCTGGCCCCCAGTGCAGCTGGGTTTGCATCCCAGCAGTATGGCTATTGCTAGCTCGCTCTTGGGCAGGGCAGACCTCAGGCACAGGCTGGCTGTACAGCCAGGCAGTACACAATTTCCTCAGGTGTGCTAGTGGGAAGGGCAGGCCCCCAGCATGAGCTGGCTGTGTGGCCCAGGGGCGTGTACCTGTCTGAGATGTGCTGGTGGGCAGGGCTGGTCCCTGCGCTAGCAGGCAAGAGAGAGGATTCCAAATGGTGCCTGCCAGCATCTATGTCAGCAAAGCTGAACTAGATCACAAAAATGGCTGCCACCAATGTCTCAGTTCCTGGGTCAGGGGTGGAGGCAAGCCACCTGCCTCTCCAGAATGTGCTCCAAGCTTAGTGAGCCTCTTTTACAAATGGACTATGCACTTTTCTGTCTGGTGTTTTTGTTCTGGTTTCTGGATCAGGTAAGTCTGTGCATGGGCCATTTAGGAGCAGGTTTTCCTTTCCCTGAAGTTCTCTAGTTTTCCTGGGCATATTCCCCATTGGTTTTCAAAGCCAGATGTTTTGGGGTCTCATCTCTTTTGTGCTGGATCTAAGGGCTGGGTGCCAAATATGGAGCTCAAATCTCCCGCTCCTCTGGGAAAAGCTCTGCACCTTTGAGATTGCTCCCGACCACAAAGTACTATGGCTAGGGTCTGGTTTTTTCCCTCAGCAGGACTGTATCGTTGCTGCTTCTCCCCTCTCTCTGTTGTCGCTTGTTGTGTCCCTTTTCATCTCGTTTCCAGATGTCTCTGAGGTGATTGTTCCACAGGTAGTTGTAGGTTTGTTGTGCCTGTGGGAGGAAGCAAGCTCAGGATCCTCCTGTGCTGTCATCTTCCTAAGAAGCCTCTCAAGGGCCTAAAAAGCTCAGTGTATAGAAATAACATTGGATGGCTTATCCAAAACAAGGACTTGCATACATTTAATAAATTTATATACATGTACTCATTCAGCAGAATAATATTGAATAAAGTATTCAGCTTAGCAACTTTTAATGGTTTTATTGTTATTGTTCTTTAGGTTGAATCTCCAGTGATCTGTAAAATCTTAGATACAGCAGATGAAAATGGACTTCTTTCTCTCCCCAACTAAAGGGTAATAAAGTTTGGGGAAAGAAAAGATCATTGAAAGTCATGATGATTTCTGTCTGACCATGTGTCTCATTATAGAGTTCTCGGCCATTGGACCTCATCTAAAGGATCATATAAAAGGACTCTCAACCACTTTGTGAATATATATGTGTATATAAGAGGTTATTGATAAACATCTAAGGCAGACATTTGTCTCACTTTTTTCATTTTTGTTGAGTCTTGTGAACTGATTGTGTTTTCTTTGCTTGGATAACGTGATTCCAAAATAAATCTCATCCAAGCAATTTAGAGTTCAGAGCCTAATGAAATGTCATAATCGTTGTACCCACTGAAAGTTTATAAATAATAGATTTATTATGTAAATTATAGTATATATAACTAGTTAATGAAGTAAAGATAATAAAGAAAGAAATTGATAGGAAGTTGCTTAAATGGGAGACCATGTAAAATATGTAAATTCTAGTGCCTGAAATCCTTTGAACAAATTTTTATTTAGCAGCTGCTCTCTACCAGGTATTAAACTAGAAACTGGGCACGTACTAGAGCCTCACATGTACGTTTCCTTCACCTCTGTTAATCTCTAGAAACTCTAATTTGTAATAGATTGCTTCTCTCTCAGAACCTTTATCTGTCTCTTTCTCCTTGATCTGAGTGTGTTTACCCCAAAGTATGTACCTGGTGTAGACAGTCAGTGATTCCTCTCTTTTGACTTAGAATGGTTTACTCTAACAAAACACACAATGCTGGTTATCCTTGGTACTTGCCTACTGTATACTACAGATTTTAGTTCTGGACAGTTATACAGCATAATATTTATTTTAAAGTGAATAAAATGTCCACAAGCAGTGTTGTCATGTAGTCAATGGCAGATTATTCAGTTCCTTTATTTTCTCCATTACCCTGTTGCACACAACATTATCTTGTTGTATTTTGAACGGGACATATCTAAATAAGGACAGAAAAGTGGCCGTAAAATACTTTACTTTTCCTCCTTTTCAGTAGCTCTGGCCAAAGATATTTTAGTGTGAGAAAAGATTAATGCAATTGACTGTTGGAGGGCTATTTGTACATTTTAGTAGGAAGCAGCACATACACAAAGAACATGCACTTTGAATTCAAACCTGGGTCCAGATTTACTCGTTGTGTGATCCTGGACAGATCAGTTAAGGTTTTGGAGCCTCACTTCCTCTTTTGTGGAGAGTCTGCTTACTTCATAAGGTGGTTGCATCAGTGCATTAATTTTACTGTATATAAAAAGTTTAGCTCCAGTACTTGACACCAGGTTCCCAATAAGTGTTAGTTAATTTCCTAATACTGCCTCTGTCTCCTATTAACATAATAGATCAGAGACCAAAGCCTTTAAAATGTTTCTTTAATAAATTATAGAATCATATTTATTATATCAATGAATTAAGACAAACGAAATTACCCTCACATTTAGATTATAGGTTGGCGGGGGAGGGAGTTAGAATTGTGAAAGGGTAGTGGCAAAAGACACTTTGAGAATATTTAGGCCAAATCCTTTTTCTTATGAAAGGAAAATTCTAAGACTCTGTATTGGAGTAGTTTACCACAGATTCTTAAAAATGGAAGTCATAATTATTTCAAAATAAAAGTTTTGAAAAAAGAAGTCAGCTTGTGTCTTGGCTAACAGTTTCAACGTGAAGGGAGGGAAAGGCCAGGTAGTTCCGTATTCCTTCTAACTCTCGGGTCCCCTATCAGTAGTCTGTGAAGTCTCGTTTGATCTCTAAATTGTTTGCTGCCTCTACAGCCAGCCGTTCTTCTATTAAGTAGACTGAATTCCTAACAGGCAGGAGAAAGGGCTCAGCTCCAATATGCCTCATGCTCAATAAGTCTCGAAGTACGTTAGGCACATTGGAGCTGAGCCCTTCCCCTGCCTGTCTTTCTCAAAGTGGAGTCTATTAAGGGGGCTGCTATCCCAGACCTACTCAATCAGATTCTTGCAGGCAGAGCCTGTATCTGCATTTTAAATATGCTTCCTGAGTGATTCTCTTTATTTTAAATAAATTCTCCAATGATTGAGAATCACTGACTTAGGAACTTCACTGTTAACAGTTGCACACATAGTAACCCTCCTGATTAGGGTTTGAGGGAAATAACTTGTAGCTCATCTTTACAAGCAGATTATGACAGGGAGACTTTTTTTTTTTTTTTTTTTTTAGTTTTACCTGCTTTTCTTTGAGACACCACTAGATGGAGCCTATAGCCCAGCTCTATTTGTAGCCTTAGATCCTTGATTAAAGAGACTTTGGCAACAAACGACAATAAATTGTCCCAGTTCAACTGAATAGTAAGCTTTGTGTACAGTCCCTGGTGAACTATCCTTTTCAGTCAGTCTGATGTACAAAGGCCTGACCTGATTTCTGACAATGCTGAAACTTCCTGTATGTAATCAGGCCAATTATTGAACCAGAAGCACCAAAGATCTAACATAAAAGGGCTTAAGCTAAAAAGGAAAATAAAAATCAAGATTTAAATTTTCAATAAATAGGATCTGCAATCAGAGTTTTAAATTAAAAAGTATCAGCTATAGTAGAATCTGATTTTAAAATTCCTAGTGTTGGATGATTAGAAATAGAACTATCTTTTATATATATGGATGTTATACATTATAATGAGCTGTTGAGGTAAAAGTTTTCAAAATATGTTGCCTTGATGACATGGCTTAAAAGAAAATCCATTTATCCATTTCTTTTTTTCAGCTTAGCAGGAGTGATAGAGATACCATGGACCACTACATACCCAAGAACAAGCTTTATTTCATATGCCAGTAGTCTCAAAATAGGTTGTACAAGCAGGTGAGGTGATCCAGTGGATTATGGGAAGAAAGTGTTAGAAATTCTACTAATTTTTCATCTGCAAAAGAGGAATTAAGCTTCACTAATATTTAATAGGTGGATTGACACTGGTATACACAATCATTCATAAATCAGATTTTGTGTGATAAAACAAAACATCCTGAGGGGAGGGAAGAGTGGGCATTACATGTGTAGAGGAGTCGTTGGGGATACCATTGTTATGCTTTATTTTTACCATGTTACAGCATTGTAGATAAAGTAAATTAATGCCTCCATCACCTTTCAGAAAATGGAATTGTCACTTTAAATATTAGCATCAAGACCACACATTATTAGGTATATAACCAATCAGAACTAAGGTTAGAGGTTAACAGGTTACTTTCACCACCCTATGGCCCCAATCGCTGCCATCCTGGTATCTTACAAGGCTTCTCCATTAGACATAACACAGTATACTAATGCTTTTTTACAGTGATTAGAATGAGCATGTTTTCTTCACTGGCGGAAGAAACTACAGTTTGAAGACGAGTTGAATTCCACTCTTTAACACTTAGAGAAAATAAAGGCAGGCCTGACAGTCTCAAAACTTACAAAATGGAAGGAAGGCAGAATTATTAACAAATGGAATATAGGGCTTGTAGTGTTTTACATCCACACTTATTTGTATTAAGCATTTTAGTACTTTTTATATTTAAAACAAAAAGTGTTCACCAAAAGCAAGTAAATCAAGCAGAACTTCTGGAAATGGTAACCATCTCAACTGATGAAGACATTTGTGAGACTATAAAATAGTGCCAAATATCTCACTCTAATCATGTACCACGTTATGTATTTCAAACCGATTAAATTGCTTTCCAGTACTTATCAATAGACTCAATTGTGCTTTGACTTGAATTTAAGGGAAAAACAATAGCCTCCTATAGATTTTCCTGAATCATGTATAATTTTCATTTTGTAAACATAATACTAAAAATCAAACTCCCTTGAAAGTCCAGCAACTCAGAGTTTAAACCTAATAGGTCGAATCTACACTACTCTCAATCCACTCAGTAATATAGCCAAAATAGTGAAATTTGTTAGGTTCTAACATCTGTGTCCTCAATAAAATAATAGTTGCAACTTAGTCAACAGTAGTCTTTAATAGCAGCAAAAACTAACTCATTTAAGAATTCTTTCAGAGCTCCAAATATTATCCCACAGATTAGAAAATCTTAATGGTAGAGGAAATTGGAAGTTGTTTCTCCCCTGGATTAGTTTTCCCCTACTTACTTAATATATTAATTAATTGTATTATATTAATATTCTAATATTATAATTGATATATTAATTAATTATATTAATATTCTTAAGCCATGTTGAAAGAAATCATTTGTAGGAAAAGCTTTCATCCACCACCTCCAAGAAAGTGTTTCACCCCCAAAAAGCCAGTAGTGAACCATCTTAAGTAAGTCACTATTCCTTGAATTTCAGATGACAGGCTGCCACTTATTGAACATTTATTAAATACTAAGCTCTATGCTAAACATTTCAGATACCCTATGATCACAACCCTGTGAGACAGGTTTACTATCTCAAACTCACAGATAAGGAAAACGAGGCTCAAAGAGTTGAACTAAACTACAGGTGTCTGAACCAGCATTTGAATCATTCAGATTCTAGAGTCCCTGTTTGTAAATAATATGCTATAGTGCTTTCTATTTGAGAAACATCTTCCAGCCCATGAACCACTCTCTCTTAGCTTCTCCCACCTGAAAGAATACACCAAAGGGCTCAGCAAAATGTCATGTAAAATGAGGGAAATAATCGATTTTGTCCTGCTAATGTATGACACTTTTTTTTTCCATGTTTTTACCATGGAACACCACAAACTCTTCTTAAGCTAATGTAACCCACAAATCTGGCAAATGAAAATTCGCTAGTAAGATTAAAGTGTCACCTTAGAAATTCTGGCTTGGTTAAATGCCATCAAACCCTCCCTCCTTTGCCCTGAACTAACATCGGTTGCCAGTCTTCCTCTTTTTTTCTTTTCTTCCCAAAGCCCCAGTACATGGTTGTGTATCCTAGTTGTAGGTCATTCTGACTCTTCTATGTGGGATGCCACCACAGCATGGCTTGATCCAGTGCATATGTCCACACCCAGGATCTGAACCCACCAACCCCCGGCCACCCAAGCAAGCACACGAACTTAACCACTTGACCACAGGGCCAGACCCCCCTCCCTTCTTCGATAATCCTTCTGTGATGGTAAACAATGCAAATGCAGTGGCAATTGATCAAGATCCAGATTGTATTTATGATTTAAATGGCAAAAATAGGGGCCAGCCCCGTGACCAAGTGGTTAAGTTCATGCACTCCACTATGGCAGCCCAGGGTTTTGCCGGTTCAGATCCTGGGCGCAGACATGGCACTACTCATCAAGCCATGCTGAGGCGGCATCCCACATGCCACAACTAGAAGGACCCACAACTAAAAATATACAACTGTACTGGGGGGCTTTGGGGAGAAAAAGGAAAAATTAAAATCTTAAAAAAAAAGTAAAGAATAAACATTTTTTAAAAATGGTAAAAATAATTCCTTCATTTTTTATTTATTGGGGTAAAGAATATACCTTATTTTTGTTTCTCCTCACACCTTGCATGAAATTGACGTTAAGCAAATACTTGCTGAATAAATGAATTGAACCCTCACCATCTCTTACCCACACCTTATAAAATCTTCCCCAACTCCAATTCCCATGGGTTTCCTACCAGTCCTTATGTTTCAGTGTTTGTTGCTTTGAGAAGCAAAATATTTTCCTTAGTTTTACAATGGTTGGGAAAGCAAAAGGAGTAGAATTATCAATTCATTCCATCTGTATTCCTTGTCACTCAGATTCCACAGCACATCATTTAAGTAATTCATTACTGTCTGACACTGCTTTGTCATGGTTCCACAGGTTGCTTGTCCTCCCTGACAGGAATACAGTGTCCGTGTCTCCTCCTGTTCTATTTCCCCGACTTGTGGGCAGTGATTGAAGTAAAGTCCCTGATCTCTAAGGTCAAAAGAAGAATTGAATTTTCAGTCTCCAGCTCCATGAACTGAAAACATTCCAGTTCTGAGGACTCTGAACTACTCAAAGAACGTGTCTACCATGGTTCTCTGTGAAAAACACCATCCCCAGTCACATCCTTCCTCAGAGTAATATTAATAACATCAGTTCTCCCAATTTCTTTGACATACTTTGTTGTTAAAGCCAAACAAATGAAGAAGAAGCTTTCATAAGCCTTCACTAAAGTCAGATATGAAATGTGTTGAATCCAAAGCATTTGCAGGTCGTGAAACTTAGCCTAGTGCCCTGGCCCCAGAAGACAGGCAAAAAGCACTCTGAATTGCTCTGCTTTTTAAGGCCTATCTGGCATCTGAACAAGCTACATTTTACAAAACTTCAGGCTTTGCATGAAAATCAAGATTGCCACATTAGGAGTCAATTGAAAGCTCTCCCACTCATCAGCATGCTACAGGCAGCTGAAGGTTCAGGAAAGTGTCAAAAGGGCAACCTGCATATAATTGGAACTCAGAGAAATAAACTGAACTTATCTTGGCACCAGCTAAGCGTATTTATAAAAAAGCAGAATTATCTGTTTACCGGGTAGAGGAGAGAAAATTCACTAATTTGCCCATAAGCAATGAAGTGATATTTTTACTTTGGTAAATTAATCTCAAAGGCATTGGACCTAAAGAGATTGCCCACTAACTATCTCTTATGGAAAGCTAAATTTCACTAAATCTGCACCTTTATTCAAATTGTCATATGCTTTAAAGTATTGGTACCCTCCTTGCTCCCCCTCCACGAACCAGTTACCCCTTTCCTCCTCCAACTCCTGTGTGGTGGCTGAAGAGTCTACTTTCATCTCCAGTGTCCTTGGGCTGCATAATCAGCCAAGAAATTCCAATGAGAATGAATTCAGCTTGTCTAGCAGCTCCTGAGCAGCCAGGGTGGTCCCTTGGGAAGAGATGCCCTCAGAGCTGGTCCCCTAACTGCGCAAACAGTCAGACACAAGGACTTTGGTCCTCCTAAAGCAAGACCCATGTTCCCTTTCATTAGAATCCTGCCGATAATGGTCCTGGGAATACAAAGAGCGATACAAAAAATAAACATGGGGAAATTGTAAACCAGCTAGACAGAGATTTGGGTTGACATCACTTCCAGGCTTCATCCGTTCAATCACTTATTATTCGATTCATTTATTCAACAATTGTGCACTGAAAGGCCGATTGGGCCAAGGACTGATATGGTGCTGAACAAAACAGACAAAGTCTTTGCCCTATTAAAGCTTTATTCTAGTGGGGAGACAGCATAAACAACTATGTGTTATTGTTATGGACTAAATTTTGTCCACCCTTCCAAGTTTGTATTTGAAGCTCTAACCCCCAATGTGACTGTATTTGGAGATAAGGTCCTTGAGGAGGTAATTAAGGTTAAATGAGGTCCTAAGGGTGGACCCCTAATTGGATGGGATTGGTATCCTTGTAAGAAGAGGAAGAGAACCAGACAGCACCCTCTCTCTCTCTCTCTCTCTCCATGAACGCAAAGAGAAGAGGTCCTGTGATGACAAAATGAGAAGGCAGCCTTCTACAGGCCAGGAAAAGAGGCCTCACAGGAAACCAACCCTCCAACCCTGATGGCATCTTGATCTTGGACTTGTAGCCTCCAGAATTGCAAGAAAATAAATTTCTGTTGTTTAAGCCAACTAATCTGTGGTGCTTTGTTCTGGCAGCCTGAGCAGACTAATACAGTAGCATAATGTTGGGTAATGATAAGAGCCATGCAGAAAATAAAGTACAACACAGAGATAGATAATGAGAAAGTGGAGAGCTATGTTGAATATGGCGACTAGGAAAGGCCACTGGGGAAGACCATTCCAGGCTGAGTATTTCTGGGGGAATTAATTCCCTGACATGGGAACAAAACTGAGACATGAGAAATAGCCAGAAGGTCCCAAGCATGTGAGGCAGGGTACAAATGAAAGGAAATGAGGACAGAGAGGAAACCGGGGCCAGATCATTAGGGCCATACAGGCCATAGCAAGGATTTGTTCTAAGTGGGGAGGCTTTAAGCAGGAGAATGACAAATATGATTTACCTTAAAAGAGTCACAGTCACACAGGAAGGAGACTATAGGAGAGAAAAACTGGAAGCTGGGTAAAGGGTTATAAGGCTGGCTTAATACTCCAGGTGAAAGATGATGGGGGCATGGGCTAGAGGGGATAAGGATGAAGAGGTGAGAAATAGTTGGATTCAGAGTTTACTTTCAAGATAATTCAGGATTTGTCAATAGATTGGAAGTGGTATGCAAGGGAAAGAAAAGAGTCAAGGACACGAAATTGAGCTGTGCAACTGGATAATTGCAGCGCCATTTACTGAGATGAGGAAACAGCAGGAGGCTCCAGTTTGGTGGGGAGTGGGGTTGAGTCAAGTGTTCAGTTTTGTATATGTTAAAATTTGAGATGCCTGATGGACATCCAAGTGGAGACACCAAATAGGCAATTGGATAGACCAGCACGGAGTTCAGGGGGAGGTTAGGACTAGAGATATAAAATTGAGTGTCATTAGCATTTAAATGGTATTAAAAGCCAGAAGACTAAATATCATCATAATTACTGCCAGCCCCTGCTTCTCAATTTACGGATCCATCTTTAGGGGAGGAGGAGGAAGTAGGGAGCTGTTTTCCTATCTTTTTGCTCTTCCTTTCCCATCTTCATCCCCTCAAAGATTTCCCTCCGGCTTTGAGCTGTCATTGTTTTCTATCCTGGAAGGCACTCTGGCTCTCCTGCATCTCATCACTTTCGGGCCAGTGCAGCTGAACTGGTGCACCCTGAGCACATTCTCCAGT